CTCCTCCTCCTCCTCCTCCTCCTCCTCCTCTACAACTACTCAATATGAATACTACTCTCCCTCTTCCCCTGATGGCGTGCTGGGAGTAGCCGACCCCCCCCCCGCGTCCTGCTTTTCTACACACAGGATTCCCGGGAGTTCGGTGTTCGCATGCGTTTTTTTCAAAATGCTGCTCTCGCTGAGGCGCCGGCCTCATTTTGGGGCCCCGCTCGTTCCGAATCGTGCGTCCGCTGCAGCGCTGGCCTCATTTCCGTGCTTCCGCTCGTTCCGAATCGTGCTCCCGCTGCAGCGCTGGCCTCATTTCCGCGCTTCCGCCCGTTTCGACTCGTGCTCCCGCTGCAGCGCTGGCGTCATTTCCCGTGCCATGCCACAGCACACGCGCACACACGCACACACACACACACACACACACACACCACCACACACCACCACCACCACCACCACCACCACCACCACCACCACCACCACCACCACCACCACCACCACCACCACCACAACCACGCACACACGCACGCACGCACGCAAGCACGCAAGCACGCACGCGCACCACCACCCACTACGCACGCGCGCGCGGAGCCACAGGTCCGCTACGACACGCGTCCGCGGATAGAGAAAATCAGCGCCAGGATAAGGGATGGGAGGGAGGGGTAGGACGTCAGATATGACGCGAGCGTACCTAGCTTGTCCTCCTCCTCCTCTTCCTCCTCCTCCTCCTCTTCCGTTGTCCTCCTCCTCCTCCTTCTCCTCTTCCGTTGTCCTCCTCCTCCTCCTTCTCCTCCTCCTCCTCCTCCTCCCCCTCCTCCTCCTCCTCCTCATGATCCGCCTCCTCCTCCTCCTCCTCCGCCTCCTCCTCCTCCTCCTCCTCTTCCCCTTCCTCCTCTTCCTCCTCCCGCCTCCTCTCCTCCGTTTCTTCTTCCCCCTCCGACACTGCAGGGGTCAAGGCTGAAATGCTCCACCATCCAAGCCCCGAACTCAAGCACGCCCTGCTGAAAGTATCTAACGCGGTCATACAACCGAGCGCCCCCACGCCGAAGAAGTGGCGGAAAGCCAGCATTACAGTTATGCCCAAATCGGGCGATCTTACTCGCCCGCAGAATTACCTCCCGATGTGCACAGTTCCAATGCTATACAAGCTTTTCAGCCGATAACTGTACAACATATTGCAACCAGCACTCGACCGGCACCAACCAGACGACCAAGCAGGGTTCAGAGCCGGACGTGGCACACGCGACCACCTTTTTATTTTCAGCACCCTACGGAAGCGGGCTGACGAGTGGAATCAAGTATTGTGGATCGCAGCTGTTGATTTCAAAAAAGCATTCGACACAGTGGAACACAGCAGCCTGTGGACAGCACTACACGACCAGGGGATACAGCAAGGGTATACCGACTTGTTGCAACGCCTCTACCACGACCATACAGCTGTCGTGCGCACCGATTCCGCCAGCAAAGCAATCACGCTCCGACGCGACACAAAGCAGGGCGACCATTCGAGTTCGTTTCTCTTCAACGCTCTGCTTCAAAATATCATGCAACCGCTCACCCGGGATTGGCAGCTCCACGGGCGAGGTGCTCAATTGGCGAACACCACCGCCTCCGTTCTCACCAACCTCCGTCTTGCAGGCGACATTATGTTGGTCAGCCAAACCTTGCCCAACCGAAAGACAATGCTGACAGACTTGACCAAACCAGCAAAGCCCCATGGTCTCGAAATCATTCTCACAAAGACGAACATCATGACAAGTCAACTCCGCGCCCAGACACGTGCAGTCCAGGTGGCAAACATGGGCATCGACGTATTAGCCCACACCGGAAAAATTGCATACCTCGGCCAGGCAATCACCTTCAACGACGTTTCCGCGACGGAAGTTCAACACCGCATACAAGCAGCGTGGGCATATTTCACAGGTCACAAACAAGAGCTCACGAGCAAACTATGCCAACTCAGCCACCGATTACGGCTTCACTGCGGTACCGTCATACCCACCATGATGACCATGATGTACGATGCAGAAACCTGGACACTAACGGAACCTCTGAAACAACAGTTGCGCCGAACACAGCGACGAACTGTGCGGATGATCATCGGGACACCACAGCGGCGCACAGGGTCGACTCCCACAAGCACCTGCCCTGGCGACAAGCAATCATGGAGGAGCACCCAGAGGGCCGCGAACTCATGGAGAAGCACGAGATCCCAGATGTTGTACAGCTACGCTGCAAAGTATCCTGGCGCTGGGCTGCTCAAGCTGCGAACCACACACCGACCCGCTGGACACAGCGCGCTCTCAAACGGAACCCCGATCTCCAGGCGACACAACAGGGATGCCGACGACACGGTGCTCCACGCAAAAGATGAGGCGACGACATATACAGCCTGGAGCAATTATTCGGCGGCGAAACGGAACAACACTACGCTGGAGGTACCAACAAAAACGACGGCGGCAACATAGTGGAACCAACGACGTCACATGGCTTACGACAGCATTAGACAAGGCATGGTGGGATCGACACGAATATGGTTTTACCAACATCTTTGGGTAGCACCGTGAAGGAGCTCTGACGGCTGAGTAGGTGAGCGGCCACGTCCGCCCCGCGCAGGCCGCTAGCCGGCCCGTCCCCCTGCGTGGACGACTCGCGCGTCGTTCGTTCGCGTTCGTTCGTTCCTGTTCCTCCTCCCTCCCCCTTGCCGGACCTGGTCCTGGGGCAGCAGAGGCAGTGCCGAGTCCGATCCGATCCCTCCCCTCTCGTCTTTCCTCCTGCCGTCTTTTGCCTCCTCTTCCTCCTCCTCCTCCTCCTCCGTTCCCTCCCGCCCCCTTGGCCTCCTCCCCTCCCCCTGCCTGGACAAGACACGACAAAGCCGGCGGGGGGCCGGCCGGCCGAGGACGAGCTGCAGAGGCAGGTGGCGCTGCTGACCGCGCAGGCGCGCCGCCGCCGCCGCGTCGTTGCCAAGACGTCGTCGTCGGAGTCGTCGGCGCCGACGGCGGCGGCGGAGTCGGCGGCGGAGTCGTCGACGACGATGCCGTCATCGTCGTCCTCGTCGTTTTCGTCGTCGTCGTCCTCGTCCTCGTCGTCCTCGTCGTCCTCGTCCTCGTCGTCGTCGTCGCCTCGGCGCCTGCGTGAGGCGTTCCAGAGAGGGCCTCTTCGGGCCGGACGGGAGCCCAGACCTCTCCGCGTCACGAAACAATCGCGACGGGAGGTTTTGTGCTGTTTTCGGCCCCCAAGGAGCCCTTGACAGGCCTCGGGACCGTCGAGAAACGATTCGGGAAGGAGAGTCGCGTCGTGATCAACAATCGCGACGGGAGGTTTGGGGCTTTTTTCGGCCTTCGGGGGCCCTTGCCGGGCCTCGGGACCGTAAGAAAACGACTCGGGATGAAAACACGGTCCCCGGGAAGGGGTCCAGACCTCTGGGGGTCGACGTTGCGAGTAAATCACGACGTCGGGGGTCTGGGAGGGTAGGATAGGGAAAGGGCGGGTTGCGAAATTTGCTGCGTGCGTGCAGCAGATTTCGGCCCCGCCGCCGGGCCCATTCCTCCATGGGCGCCTCCTGGCGCCAGGAGGCGCCGGGGAAACCAGCTATTCGAGCTGATTCTCTACCCTGCCCTTTACTATCCTAACCGTTCCCCTCCCCCCCCGCACGAGCTTCGACTGCGAGGGTCGAAGGAGAGGTCTCCTCTTCCTCTTCCTCAGCGGGGCGGAAGCCGAGATCTCCGACGATATGATGTTTTCAGTCCAGGCGTTCCTCCTCGATTGTGGCCTCCAGGGGCCTGTTATCGGGCCCACGGGACCAGTGACCATCAAAAGCGGGTCCGGACGAAAAACTATTCTTGAGGAAGTGGTCGGGGCGTCCGTCAAGGGCAACGATAGGGGAGATGGGCAAAGGAGGGGTGAAGCGACCCCCAATCGCCAATTGATCGTTGGTGGGGGCCCGATAGCCCCAACCTGCCCTGGAACTTGCGGAGTCACTATCGGGGGCCTATCGCCGATCTATCTGCGCTGTATCGCCGATTCCGGGTCCACGTGTCCCCCCCAAAAAAACAGTAGTAGTGGTAGTGGTAGTGGTAGTGGTAGTGGTAGTGGTAGTGGTTGTGGTAGTGGTAGTGGTAGTGGTAGTGGTAGTGGTAGTGGTAGTGGTAATAGTAGTAGTAGTAGTAGTAGTAGTAGTAGTAGTAGTAGTAGTAGTAGTAGTAGTAGTAGTAGTAGTAGTAGTAGTAGTAGTAGTAGTAGTAGTAGTAGTAGTAGTAGTAGTAGTAGTAGTGTAGTAGTAGTAGTCGTAGTAGTAGTAGTAGTAGTAGTAGTAGTAGTAGTAGTAGTAGTAGTAGTAGTAGTAGTAGTAGTAGTAGTAGTAGTAGTAGTCGTAGTAGTAGTAGTAGTAGTAGTAGTAGTAGTAGTAGTAGTAGTAGTAGTAGTAGTAGTAGTAGTAGTAGTAGTAGTAGTAGTAGTAGTAGTAGTAGTAGTAGTAGTAGTAGTAGTAGTAGTCCCCCCGAGGCTCTGGGGAGCCTGTGGGCGGGGGGGCTACTGCTGCCCCCAAACCGCGGGTGACAGTCACCCTTCTTTTTCTCGCGCCCTCACTGTTACGAACACTCTTCCTTGCCCTGAAGGGACGTCCTGGGATGGCTGCGGCCGCTGGCGGCGCTGCGGACGCAGGTGCAGGGGCTCGAGTGGCTGAGAGTAACGCCGCTGCGGCTCGAGGCGAAGGCGGAGTGCTGGCAGCTGCGGGAGGCAGCGGAGGTGCTGGGGCCGCCCCGTGCGCCTCCGCTGCCGCTCCCGCGTCGGCAGGCGTGAACGCAGCCGACATTCCCGTGGATGGCAACACCGACGTCCACATGCGTGACAGCGAGGGCCAGCCAGCACAGAGGCGGCGCCGCATGACGGGCGGGCGAATCACCCGTTGGTGCGTCAGCGCCCAGGCGGCTCGCGGCAAGAAGGCTCACTGCACCCGCTGCATGGGAGGTTTTGAGGCGGGCGAGTGGCGCGTGGCAGGCGTCGTGACACTACCCGCGGGGTCCCAGGCGCACGCGGGCAGGAAGTGGTTCCACATGGCCTGCGTCGGTGCCCCCCTGCCACCAGCTACGGCGATGGTGGGCTTCACTCAGCTCCCTGAGGGCGACAGGGATCGCCTCGCGGCAGCCCTGGAGGCCCGAGGGGGTCCCATCTTGCCCCTGTTGGAAACAGTCGAAGGCCAGGCCCCCCCCCCCCACCCACCCAGGGAGATGGCGCGGCAGGGGGCACTGGGGCAGGCCCGAGGCCCCCTGCCGCCGCCGCGCCAGGGGCGTGCGGCCCAGGCGCACGGGTGACCCCCCTGGGGGCGGCCGAGGCAGCGGCGCCGACCACGGCGGACGTCCTACAACCGCCACCCGACGTTCCTGCGGAAGCGGACGATGATGGCGGACTCGAGACAGGCGTCTACGGCGACTACCTGGGCGACCAGGTGACGAGCGAGGACGCGTACCACGAGGTTGGCTTCGTCAACCTGGACCGGTGGGACGCCATCGGGCGGGACCGCATCCTGCTCCAAGGGGCGCCCACCACGGCCATGATCCCCGACAGCATGGCGGCAGCCGTCAGCCACGTGAAGGTGCGGCTGCGTTTGGCGATCGAGCAGGCCCGCCAGGATAACGATGCTCAGACGTCGAGTACGTTGACGAGGCTGTGGAAGGTGCTCCTTTCGTTGGACGGATTGCTGTTCAGCGAAAATGCGACCCCGACCCCGACGACGCGGCGTGAGCGCCTCCAGGAGCGCCTGCGGTGGATCCAGGACGGCCAGTGGGATGTCGCCTGGCTTTCCATGGGGGACCAGACGCGCGCCACGGTCACCGCGAAGGGCCGCGATGATCACGTCGCAGCCCGTGTGCGCCGTGTCACCGAGCTCGCACGAGCTGGAGAGATGTCTCGGGCGGCAGCGGCAGTGTGGCCCCAGGGGGACATGGCGGACGCAGCGGCGGTGGTGAGGAAGTTCAGCACCACCCAGCAGCCTGAGGCGCCTCGCCCAGGCGAGTGGGGCCCTCTCCCTGGCACTGGGGTCGCCCCGCATGGGCCGGGGAGAGGGCCCGCAGGGGCGGGGGCCGACGTGGCGATGCCGCCAGCCGCGGCTCCCCACGAGCTCGACGGCGCAGCGGAACTCCACCGCCGCGTGGCCAACCACCTCAAACGTCAGTTTGGCCGCTTCCCCCGCCGTGGAGGGGCGGGGCCTGGAGGAGGACGCTGCGAGCACCGGGCCCCGCTCAAGTACGACGAGGATGGGGCAGAGGCGGTGGCCAACGCGCTGGCACGACTGGCCATCGGGGACGACCCCCCCGAGGCGCTAGCCGCCCTGACGGCGGCGCGCCTCACGGGCATCCCCAAGGCAACCCCTGGGGATGTGCGAGTCCTGGGCCGTGGAAACGTCACCCGCCGCATGGTGGGCCGCAGCGCTGCCAAGGTCCACCACAAGGACATGCGGACGGCGGTGGGGGACCAGCAGTTCGGCCTCGCTAAGGACGGATGTGGTGCCCTCCATCGGCGCCTATGCACGAAGGCCAACTCGAGCCCAAGCAAGTGGGTGGTGGCGGTGGACCTCGGGGATGCGTTCAGCAACATCCCCCGCGACCTGGTGAAGGAGGCCGTGCGCACCAAAAGTGCCTGCGCTGGCCCCGTTGGCGGAAGCCTGGCCCCCCGCCCGAACGCGCCACGCGGCGGGGGGCGGGTCGCAACCCGCCCAGCTGGTCGACCAGATCCGTGGCCTCGACCAGGGCTGCCCGATGAGCCCAGGCTTCTACGCGGTCGGCACTGCGGATGTTCTCAGCGTCGGCCGCATGGCCGTGCGCGCGGTGGACACGGAAGGGGACTGCTTGGCCTTCCTGGACGACGCGCACTTCGTGGGCGCCGCGGCCGCTGTGCTCCGCGGCCTGGATGCGTGGCGAGCCCGCATCGAGGCCCACGGGATGAAGCTCAAGATGTCCAAGACTCAGATATGGCTCCCCGGTCCCCAAGCTGTCTTGCCGCCCGAGTTTGCGGAGTACGCCCAGTACCGCGCCCAGAAGCTCAAGGCGGTGAGGTCCACCCTGGCCTACGCGAACCACGACGTGGGCACCGACTGGAGGGGCGTCCCGCTCACGGACTTCGCCGTCCCAGAGGACCTCGACGAGGGGGGCCACGGGCAGGCCGGCGGCGCCGGGCCCGCCCCGAGCGCCGCCACGCCACCCCCCTGCGGCGAAGCCTTCCTCCAGAAGCAGGACCGCTACTTCAAGGAGCTTCTGACGCTACGCAGGCATGGGCTTTCTGCCTTTGACGCATTCCAGTTGATGCGGATCTGGTCGAGGGGCGCCTGCGCCCACATCCAGCGGGCGCCCCCGCTCACGGCGGCGCGGGGCCGCAGGGTGGATGACGGAGTGGTCGCCTTCGTCAACGCCCTGCTCGGGATCACGGCTGCCCCCCGAGAGCAGATCTTCATGAAAATCAGCGACGGAGGTCTGGGCTGTGGCAGCGCTGAGCAGCGCGGCCCCGCCGCCCTCCTGGCATCCGGGGAAGCTGGGATTCACGCGGCAGCCCAGGAGCTCCGAGAGTCGACAACGATCGGCCTCTTTCGGAGGTGGCCAGGCCTTGGCCGTGCCCGCTCATCAGCAGACGAGGAGCAGGGGCGGCTGGCTGGCGGCCGTCGCCCTCAGAGCGACCGCTGGCAGGGCCTTCTGGAGGGGCGGAAGGGCAAGGACCAGAAGACGTACACCCAGCACGTGCGGGATCACGTCACCAAGACGTTCATGGCCGCGCTGCCAGTGACGGCAGCGGCGGCGGTGCACAGTGCCTCGGGCAGCTCAGCGGGCGCCTGGTTGGATAACTTCGAGGGGGTCTCGCCCCTCGCCGACCGCGTGTTCTGCATTGCAGCCAAGAGGCGCATGCGCCTGCCGCTGCTGCAGTCCGAGTGCACGTGCCTGAACCGACCAG